GTGAAGGGCGGTGGAGGCCCGGCCCGGCCACGCGGTCACCGCCAGCCGTCCCCCAGGTCTCCGCGGGCTGATGATCGCCGTAATGATGGCCGCGCTCATGTCCTCGCTCACGTCCATCTTCAACAGCAGCAGCACGCTCTTCACCATGGACCTCTGGCAGCGGCTGCGGCCCCGCGCCGGCGAGCGGGAGCTGCTGCTGGTGGGACGGTATGCTGGGCACAGCCCGGGAGTGGCTGAGCAGTGGCCAGCCTGTGGCCAGCCCTCCGGGCCCCCAAGGCAGGTTTTGAGGGATGAGTAGGAGTTTGCCAGGTGGAGAGAGGAGGATGCCAGGAAAGAAGGGAGAGATGAGGCCGGGGTGTCCTGTCCAACCACCTCCCCTCTAGCCCTCGGCGCTCACAGCCCTCGTCCCGGGTACGCCTCTCGCCCTGCATGGGTCCCCTCTGCGGGACTGGTCCTTCCTTCCCCAGCCATCCCAGAGATCTCTTCGTCTCCCTAAAGTGGGAGATCCTAGCTCTTATGGCTCCCAGCTACCCCCAAGCAGCCCCCAGGCCAGTGCTCAGGGCTGGCAGCATTTGGGATGGGTGGTCCCTCAGCCCCATGCCCCTGGCCCAGATGAACACTCCTCATTTCCTCCTTGTGTCCCCTCTTCACTCACCTCAGTGACTCACCCGTCTTTCTAGACTCTGTCCAGTGTTGCCTCCTCCTTGCAGCCCTCCCTGATAGCCCTGACCATGGAATGAGCCCCTCTGCCCTCTATGTACCCGGCTCTCCCCAGATTCCCCCAGCACACCTGTGACCGGACAGTCTGAGTGGCCTCCCCGATGCCCCTTGCCAAGAGTCTGGTTGCTCCTCGAGAGCAGGTCTGTGAGGGCCCATCCCTCTGTCCCCGCCTGTCCCCGTGCTGGCCGGTGGACCCAGGAGGCCTGCAAGGTGCCTTGGCCATGGTGATGAAGGCCGGTGTCTCGGAGTGTGGGCACATGTCTGAGGGCCAGCAGTGCACCCTCCCGCCGGAGCTCAGGGCGCCCACCCTGGGGCGTGTCCCCGGAGTTCCAGGCAGCTGTCCCAGTGATGCAAACAGCCGGCTTCTGTCAGGGCTCTGCTGGGACACGCCAGGCGGCAGCGGGCGGGCGTGAGCTCATCTGTAACTCACAGCCTCCACCAAAACAGGCAGCCCTGTGCCCCGGGTGAGGGCGCCCCTGGTCGGCACACCCGGCACGTGGCCCTGCCCGCCTCCGCCCTGGTTACCCTCCTCTCCTCTAGGCTGTGTGCCGGGGCTGAGGGCGAGGACCCTGCTTTCTCTGACCACGGCGACCCTCCGTGCCCTGGCGCTGGGACCTGGACACCTCCTGCTGCCCGGGTGTGCCCTTAGTCTGCACACCCTGGACACCTCCTGCTGCCCGGGTGTGCCCGGAGTCTGCACGCTGGTGGCCCCAGTGCCTGCCCGGGGGCCCTCGTGTCCCCTGCCTGCCACCTTCTGGCTTCCTCCAAAGCAGGCTTCTTCCCTCCCACCCAAAGCCCAAAGCCCCCCATCTCCTGCTGCTTGCCCCGGCCTACCCCAGAGCCCCCGGCCTGGCGTTCAGCCTCCCTGTGGGGCAGGGTGCTATGCCGTGTGCTGCTGGTCAGGTTGCTCTGGGCCCCGGCTCGCTCAGCTGCAGTGCACTGAGTAGGAAGGGCCCAGTGCCGGGTGTAGGTCTGGCCTGCTCTACCACCACCCCTCTGGAAGCACTGAACACCCTCCGACACCCCCAGCCACTCTCTCAGTGGCTCAGCCTCCTCCTGCTGCCTAAAACACCATCGAAGCATTGTCCTTGGGCTCTGGGGGGTCATGGGGCTCTGGCTGGGTGGACAGGCATGACCAGAGCCTTGATCATGAAGATGTGGGACTTGCAGAGAGAGAGCCTGCAGGGGCCATCTGCGGGGGCATGGGGACAGGCAGGGGCAGGCCGGGGACTCTGGTGGTCCCATTAGGTTGTGGGAAGGCCAAGGGGGAGGGAGGACCTCACCTCTGGAGCCCTGGCCCTTCCCCATCCTCTGTTATTTGGTTCACAAACAGGGCCCAGGCCTCCCTGGGACCCTGGGTTGATCTGGGCAGGACGGGGGACTCAGAGCTGGAAGGAGCCCCTGGGACTGTGGCTGTGGCCCAGGGAGGCGATGAAAGGGGCAGGCGAGGAGGTGGGCTGGTGGGGACCATGGGCACCAGGAGGCCTTGCTGGGAGGAGTGGGGAAGGGCATCCCAGACGGCAGGAGCAGCCGGCGGCAGCCCGCACAGCTGGGTCGGAAGAGGCAGGAGGAAGGCCGAGGCCCGGTGCAGGCCCGCTGGACAGGCCTGGCCGGCCCAGAGTGCTGAGCCTGGCCTTGGCCACGGAGGGCAGGGCGGGTGGGTGTTAATGGAGGCCCGCCTGTGCCTTTGAAGAGGGCAGTGCCCGCCCGCCCGCCAGGCTAAGGGTTAATTAGCCTTAATCAAGGTGGCACCTCCTTCCTCCACCCTCTCCCTCAGGCCTGGAAGTGAAAAAGGGAGGCGGGCAGGCAGGGGGGGGAGGCACCCCAGCTGTACACACGCTTCTGTCACCCCGTCATGCTGGCGGGAGTGCCAGGGACTCAGCCCCACCTGCCGTAGGGGTGAGGGGGAAGGACCGAC